GACTTTGAATAAGTTACATACTTCCCTGAGGTTAGTTTATGGAAGTGTGGTTAGAACATTAACAAAGTGAGGTAGACGTGTTTTCAGAAGAAAGGTTGGGATAAGGTGAAGTGGACGTTTTCTGTTGACATTCAGAGATGGAGGTGGTGGAGGAACATGTGGTAAGAGTAATTATTTGATTGCTATTGACAACATGTGAGAGTGATTGAGATCAATTTAAATAGTAATTGGGACCATATGTGTAGCACTTCATCAAACTAAGCGTGTAGATATAATTTAGTGGATAATTGTAGCATTGTTCTTGTAGAAATGTTTATTTGATGGCAATGTTAGGCTTCTCGGGTGGGTGATACTCCGGTTCTTGGCTTCACACGAGAAGGAATTCACACTGAAGCCTGGTTTGTGATTCAAGTGGGTTTTAACAAAGGACGGAAGAAGTTTCACTGTTTACAGTCTCAAAAAGAGTACACGCCTGTTTCAGGGAAGCCATGCTGGGGCCCACAGCTGAACACGAGCAACCTCGTGGGACTGCTCACCCACACGTGGTGGCCTGAGGCCAGGGAGCAGAAGGGGCGGAAGGGGGCTGGCCATCCCACTGCCAAGGTATTTTAAACCTCTGGCTAGAGAGGCATGGTCAAAGGTATTGATTGGTTGACCCTATTGGCTGAATCAAGCCCACCTGGCAGTGGGCGTGGTGCTGAATTGGAGCATGCCCAGTGGAAGGGTCCTCAGGTGTTTAATACTCCTTCCCAACCCTTTTATGGAGCCTGTACTGGCATGGGAGGGGCGACCCTTGTCCCTGTCCACCCTACATCAGTAGAGGAGGAGGACTTCTTGGGCAATTCCGACTTCCCCTCTGCCTACTAGTTAGTGAAAACTTGTCTGGGGGGCGGGGATGTGCTGCTGTGTTTTTTTATAAGAAGCTTTACTTATTGTGGGCATAAATAATTCACAGTATGATTACTGTTTTTTGGGGGTGGGCTGTTAAAATAACAATAGAATCTAATGATTAACTTTTTATTTCATTCAGTAGATAGATTTTGGCATTATGAAAGGATCGTAGAAAGGGGGGAATTGTGAGCCCAGTAAGAAAATTCGAGTACATAACATGTTAGGAATTCAGAATGCTGTGCTTTTTGCATACTGTAACATCCGTTATTAGGAAATAGCTTATTCATTTGTGACTATCTGGATTTTCATAGAAAATGGAAAGTTAATGTAAAATCTATATGTTTTTCAAAATAGAAATAATTTTTAGGTGTCTTTAGTGTTAGAATTTAGTACTGTGACTCAAATGGTTTCTAATATCCCTAATTTCGTCATTTTAAACTGACAAATGTTAAAGCCTAGGGAAGGAGGTATTGTAGGATGGACTTAGTAAGTGAACGCTTTGGATGCAACTCTTGTCGAACCTTCCCAGCTGTGACTCTGGCAAGCTGCTGTTTCTGTTCTCTTCTCTCCTTTGCTCCTTCTCATTTTGAGGTTGAGTGCCTTGATCTCACCTGGGGTCGGCGGGAGTCAGACTCCACTGGACACAGCCACCAGCGGCACTGACTGTATCACCCTGCACAGGGAAGGAGGGTGGCAAGATTCAGTGATGCATTAAGTGACAACCTGGAGTTAAACCCAGGCAGGTTTTCCATGAATGCAAAGAGGAACCTGTCTTCTTCAGGGCTCAGAGAAGCGACTGCTGCTTCTGGATTTTTCTCTAAAGGATTTTAGAAATGTAATATGGTAGTTGTATTGTGGTTAAGCCTGGAATGAATCCCATTTTAGAAAATTAAGTCTTTTATAATTGAGGAATATTTGAAATACCAACTTGTCACTTTTCTGAAAAGTCAAATGCCAGGGATATAATGTTTAATGTAGGAGAGACCATGATACTAGATAGGAATAAATATAACATTTAAACATTTCTTAAATTTTTGGGCACAATTTTGATGTAGTTGATTTCCCCTCCCAATAGTGATGTTTTTAAAGTTCACTTTCAAGTAGATTGGCCTCTGAATTAATGGCTTTAACTATATTGTCTAGGTGAAAAAGAAATGGTTTTGCTTTATGAATTGGTTGCTTTTTGTTAGATGGGTCAGCTGTGTAATGGAGTGCTCCTGCCCTCGGACCCCAAAATCTCAGTTTTATGCATGCTTATAATTAGTTATTTTAGCTGGAAGGAATGCTTTGTCTTTTTTGGTAGCTTGACAAAGATCACAATGAAAAGCCATCTTTAAAAAGTATACCCATTGGTATATTTTATGAAATCTCATAGACCTTATTATAGTCAGTCTGATAGGATGTGTGACGCTCCCACCCGGTTTTCTGGGTTTGGGGAGTTGCTGTGAGTTGGCCCGGCTTGCAGCGGCCTCGTGTGTAGCCGGAGATGAGGCCTGGCCCTGTAGCATCCTCAGATTGTTGTGTGTCTGTTTTAGACGTAGGTGCCCACATCTTTTATTAGGCCCTTGCCAGAAGAAACCAGCTCCTAGCACAATCATTACAGGTTCGGTAGGTGCAATTGTACAGCGATAATAAGTAAATATCATAGTAAAGTTATAGAGAGCATGAGAGATAAAAGATATATAGAAATAAATGGAGTCAGACACGTTACATGGTAGCATTGCTCACTCCCCTCAGCCCTGCTTGATGGTCCACGTGGAGGGAGAGAGCAGGGAAGGAGGATGGGAAAGGGAACAAGGGAGAGAGGAGGGAGGGGAGCGACCAGGGAGAGAGCAACTTTAATGCCTCCCAAGCTTTTTTCCTCTCTGGGGACGTGCAAGCCCCCTAGTTACAGGTGAAGGAAGACATAGGTCACAGGAAAGGGTTGTGCTATAGGTATTACAGTGATGGGAAGGGCTGATCTTGGAGTATCCAGGCAATAGGAAGAGGAGGGATTGAGGGTATACACATGGCAAGATGGGCGGGTCTTAGATACAGGATGACAGCCTTAACAAGCCGGTTTGGTTTGTTCCTGGCCCAACTGATAGAGACCATTATCAGTAGGATGTGAACTCTGCCTCCTGGAGCCTGTCTATTGTCCCCAGCAGCAGGGAGCAGGCTCACCTCTATGATATGGGAAGACAGTGGTCTGGCAGCAGGGAGGATGATAGTGAGCTGACCTCTGCCCACAGGCCTTCTCCCTGAAGGAGCCATGTGGTGCTGTGTTAAGCATTGGGCTGCCAATTTCAAGGTTGGCGTTCAAACTCACAAAAATTTACAATCCCAGAAGCCCTAAAGAGCAGTTCTGGTTTGTGGTCCCTCTGCGTTGGGATTAAGGGGGGGAGTGGGGAGGGCTCGTTACTTTGTAGCTCAAGTCTGTCCTCAGGCTATGCCAGATGGCCTCTCGCTAGTCTAAAGCATAGTTGCTCAACGGCTTCCAACTGCAGGTACAAGTAAGTATGACAGAAGACAGCCCATAATGAACGGAATTACCTGACATTTCCAGTTACCAGGTGTGTTTCTAGGCTAAAAACTCAGACCCACCGCCATCGAGTCATCCAAACCGCTGTGGGTTTCTGGTTGTGTAACCTTTTAGGGAAGCAGAAAGCCTTGTATTTCTCCCAGAGGCCGATGGGCTGGTGGTTTCACACTACTGACCGTGGGTTGGCAGCCCCGTCGGTGCACAGCACCAGGGCTCCTGTGCATATTGGCAGACCCCAGGCTATGGAGAAGATTAATTCCTAACTGTGTCTTTACGAATTTGTGGGTCATTTGGAACAAGTTGAACCCACCCATTGCCTTTAAGTTGATTCTGACTCACAGCTTCAGGTTCTTGACGCTGCAAGTCTTTATGGGAACCGAGAGCTTCATCTCTACCTCATTAAGAAGAGGCTGGTAGTTCAGACTGCTGACCTTGTCGTTGGCAGACAGTGCCGCAGGACTACGTGGTTCACTTTCAGTCTTCACTTGAGGAAAAGAAGAGCCCAGGCAGTGTAGTGGTCACGCATTGGGCTGCAGTCTCAAGGACTGAAGTTCTAACCCCCTGCCACTCCAAGGGAGAAAGACAGGGCTTTCTCCTCCAGTAAAGAGTTGACCGTCTCAGAAACTCACAGAGGCAGTTCTACCTAGGGGACTCTATGAGGCAGGATTAACTCCCTGGCAGTGTCCCGTCCCCCCCCTCCCCCTTTTACTTTATGAAAAGTCTGGAAGCCTTTCAATGCTTCCAAAGCTGCACGCGGGCAAGTGAAGGTGATTGTGAGGAATAAGCTGCATGGGAGTTGAGCATCCAGGTGAGGACCAGTTTGCATAAGCATTTAAGGGCTAGTATGAGCTAGCTAAACCTCAACCTGGAAACTAACTGCCTGTGGTTGAGTGAGTTCAGGTCTGTCACCTGAGGGGCTCAGCGGTTACAGTGTAGCAGCACCACTTTTAACAGTAGCACCGTGACCAGTGAAATGGGATTTTGGAGGTACAAGAATATTAAGGAGTGACTTATTGAAGTAAACCGCAAGTGATGTTAATTTTAGACACAATATTTTCTTTGTGTTAATGAGTATTTTGGACTCACATCCTTGGACCATTGGAAGTAGGCTTCCGGTCCTCACAGCACACCACATGGACTGCCGGGGGCAGCCTGGAGTGCCAGAGAAGGGCAGCGCTCTCTGAATTGAGCACATGTCAATTTCAAAAGGTTAAACAAAAGTCGTTACTGGTTTTATTCGAATGCATACTTTGTGTTTTTGGCCAAACCAGGACTATCTAGAATACATGAGCTAAGGGGTTGGGTTATGTATTAAGACTAGTATCCAAAAGCCATTTTTGTGGCTACCCTTTGGTAAATGGAGAGGTTTTATGGCTAGTATTTAGTCAGTTTTATAATATATATGGTGGGTTTCCTCTGAATTCACACTACTACTTTTTCTAACTTCCTTTTACTCTTGGCTTTTTCTGTGTAGATACAATTTTGTGTTAATTCATTACAAACTAACCCCTTGCTTGCGCCTCTTACCTTTAGTCTCCCTCCCACTTGTCTTCCTTTCTGCTGAGGTTGTATTCTCTTTGTTTTTCAGATGAGACTCTCTTTGCTCTTCCTGCTGCATCTGAGCCTTTGATGCACTCCTCTGCAGGCAAGTTCTTTCTGCTGCCTGGACCTCCATGCAGTCTCACTCAGCGCTTCAGTGTCCTGAGCTCTGTGCGGTTGTGTGAATTTACTCAAGAGTAGCATGGTTCCAAGAATGTTTGTCTCTTGAATCTTTAACTTAATTTGTATTTTATAAGCTATGTCTTTATATGCTATGTCCAAGGGAGAAATGGGCAAAAATTAACAATTGAAATTATATGAGGATTTCTTGGACCCTTACTTTACATTTACACAATGACAAATTCTTTTTTCCAAATACAGTGCATTTGCTTAAATGGATTTTATGTAAATTAATGCCCATCTCTGGCATTTAATTATCTAATGCTTCTCCTTTCCTATGCTATTAGACTTCTCTCCCTCTGAAACGAGTCGAAGTAGCTTTCCTCAGTTGACAACACTTGAGCTGTTTCTCCGCCCTGAGGTCTGTCTGCCCAGTATCCCATTGCCTCAGGGACACGCTTACTGACAACACTCCCCTCGGTGGTTATTTATTAAATAAGCTCTAGCAACATTTCATTTTAGTTAACTCTGAAGTTTTACTAACGCTGTTTTATAGCTATCATAAAACTTGCATTAACTGAGAAAACTGCGTTCTCTAACTTTCCTTTCTGTCCATGGTCACAGACGAAAATATGGACTTGAAGGAGCAGCCGGCTAACATTGTTCCGGCTGGCCATGAGGATTTCCCATCTGTCCTGCTTGAATCTGCCGCTTCTCTTCCTTCTCTGTCTCCTCTCTCCGCTGCTGCTTGTAAAGGACAGGAATCTCTCGGGAAGGTGTCAGCAGTATCGCCCACCAAGGGAACGCATCAAGACTCTTCAGATGAAGCTTCTAAGGAGTTCTTGGAGAAGGCACACAATCCATTTTTAAATAGAGATTTTCCAGAGTTTTCAGAATTGGAGTACTCACAGATGGGACCCTCCTTCCGTGACTCCCCGGGAGCAGGGTCTGCGGTGGCAGGCACACCCCCCAGGGAGGGCGCCTTCCTGGAGAGGACTGATGATGATGAGCATTCAGTAGTTGGTAACGACACCCTTCATAATCAACAAGTGCTCCCCGTGGCCACCCCTGAGCCAGCCAACGAGGACCGAGTTCTGTCTGCGGACAAAACCCAGGGTAGTGGTGACACAGGAGTGGCCACAGCAGGCTTTCCACAAGCCCCCATGCGGGAGGAGTATGCAGACTTCAAACCGTTTGAGCAAGTGTGGGAAGTTAGAGACATGGACACTGGGGCGAGGACGGCGGCCTCACTGGAAGGCAAAATGGGCAGCAGGGGCTTTGCCGCCGACAGTCTGGAGCGCACCAGCCCCGGGAGAGACAGCGCGAGCAGCCTCGAGAACATGTCTTTCCCTAGCACGCCCGACGCCGCGGCATACATCGCCTGTGCCCCCCCAGGCCGGGCCGCAGCACAGGGCTGCCCCTTGTTGGAAGGTAACACTGTAGAAAATAAGACGGATGAAAAGAAAATAGAAGAAAAAAAGGCCCAGATTGTGACCGCAAAGAGCACCCACATGCAAATGTCAAACCCTTTCCTTGCTGCAGCTCCTGGTGCTGAGGCAGATTACGTCACAACGGAGCACCGGTCCCAGGCGGCCGGGGTGGCCATGGCCACCATGCCTGAAGGTCTGACCCCAGACTTGGTGCAGGAGGCGTGTGAGAGTGAACTGAATGACGCGGCAGGTGCAAAGGTGTCCCAAGAGGCCAAGGTGGACCTGGTCCGAGCCTCCGAAGCGCTGCAGGACTCGCTGCCCCCGGGCACGCAGCTGTACCCATCCTTTGAAGGATCGGCAGCGGCGCCCTCCCCGGGGCTGCCTGACATTGTCATGGAAGCGCCGCTGAGTTCCCTTGCTCCCGGTGCTGGCCCTGCCTCCGTGCAGCCTGGCTCCTCGCCATTAGAGGCTCCACATTCAGGGACGCATGAGAATAGTGAGCCCGAGTCCGAGAACCCCCCACCTTATGAAGAGGCTGTGAACGTCTCGCAGCAAAAAGTAGCTGGAATACAGGAAGAAAGGAGAGAGCCTGCCAGTACCCAGGCGGCTGGTCCACAAGCAGAAGCTCCTTACATCTCCATTGCATGTGATTTAATTAAGGGAACAAAGCTCCCCTCCGAGCCAGCTCCCACTTTCCCCACTTACTCAGAAATGGCAAACATTGCGCAGCCAGGGCCTGACCCTTCTGACTATGTCGAAGATTCCTCTCCCGATTCTGAGCCCGTTGACTTATTTAGTGACGATTCCATCCCGGAAGTTCCTGAAAAGCAGGATGAAGCCGTGATGCTTGGGCAAGAAAACCTCTCGGACCTTTCCCCTGCATCCCTGGCAGAAGGTGAGAGCGAGGGGAGATTCAGTGCTTCGCCACCAGAGGGGGGAAAGCCATATCTGGAATCCGTCCAGCCCATTGTAGACCCGGCGAAAGATCCTGCGCCCTCCGCACAAGGTTCTGCATTGGCCCAAAGGGAGAAAATCCCTTTGCAGATGGAGGCGCTCAACATGACAGCGTCCTCCACTGGTGGCCTGTTTACTGCTAAGGAGACTGACGTGAGGGAAAGTGAGACATCTTCAGATTCATCTCCTATTGAGATTATTGATGACTTCCCCACATTTGCCAGTTCTACACCCGATTTTCCCCCTCAGCTGCCTAGAGAGTACCCTGATCTAGAAAGATCCTACAGGAGCGAGATGGCTGATGTCCAGAAAGCAGCTGCGGCTTTGCCTGGCACAGAGCTACCCGGTGACCTCTCTTCCGAGAATATGCAGCCTCAAGCTGAGTCCCAGAGCCGCCCCTGGGGGGAGCCCTACAAGGATGCGTCCCGCGTATCCAAGGTGCCCTCGCTGCCTCCAGACGGTCCTGCTGTGGCCGCCCGGCCGGAGGTGGGCAGTGTGCTCAGAGCGGAGGTCCTCGAGGGAGAAGCTGCGAAAACACGGCCTCCTGGGAGCGGGACAAAGGCCAGCCCGCCTTCTGCGCTGCTCTCAGCAGAGCTGAGTAAGACTTCAGGTAATTGTTCCATATGCTGTCTTGTAACGTTGTACCCACCTTTTGACGTATCGTGGACCGTGCAGTGGTGTTTTATGCAATATGCTGCACTTACAGTATGAAATATATTGCAACAATATGAATTTTTTTCCAGTTTCAACTGAAGGCTTTAGTGCTTTTTTTTTAAACCTTTCTTATAGTTGTTTATTGGTGATTTTTATATTGCATCATGGATCTAGACAATATTTTAAAATTAGAATTGGCTTTTTAAAAACTCTGTTTCTTGTAACACAGAGTAGGTAGCATTAACAAAATTCAGATGTTTTATTAGAAATCATTTCACTCTTACTTTAGAAAGATGATTTCGGTGACATTTTTCTAATGTTTTAATATTGAATATTTGAGTACTTTCCAGTATAAGGAAATTATAAGAGGCATACTGAGTCATCGTAGACATTTGAAAAGTAAATTTAGGTATATTATTGTACACTTCTCTGAAGTTCTAATTCTTGATTTTCTTTGTGGCTTTACCTTTCCCACATACCTGATCTGCACGTGAGCCTTACTGAGTTTCCACCAAATACACCTAGGTTCCTTTGGATTGGAGATGGATAGAACTAGTAGCAGAGAGTCCAATTTAGAGATTACTCTAATGCAAGGAGGGAGGAGGTTTTTAACACCGAGGCAGTCAGGTAAGCACGACACCCAAGACTTACTTGGTTGTTAAGTGGGTGTGGAAATGAAAGGTAATCGACCTCCAGAAACCTGGGTTCCTCACATGTGCCAACTGCACCAGGATGGCAGTGTAAGAAATTGAAGCAGACCAGGAGATGAGAAAGTGCCCTCAAGGGGGAAAGTTAGAGAATTCTGTTTTGAATGTGTTGGTTTTGAGGTACCTACAAGACACTGGAATCGTGGTTGTGTGTGGGTTATGTGTTGGGCTCCTAACCACAAAGTCAACAGTTCCAACCCACCAGCTGCTCTGGGGGTGGAAAAATGAGGCTGCCTGCCCCTCTATAGATTTATAGCCTCTGGAACCTTAGGCAGCAGTTCTAACCCGCCTTAGAGGGTCACTGTGAGCGGGGATTGACTTGCTGTTAGTATGTTCAGGTTTTGAGAGACACACAAGATGTTTTTGCTGTTGTGTATGCAGTTCTTTAGAGAGATCTTAGCTGTGTGTGTATACTCACTGTGGGCTCGGAGATAACGTGTAGTAGGTTAAAGCCTGATTATCAACTAGGGAAAGCCAAGTGCAAAGCAAGATTTAAGAATGAAAGGAATGGTCCACATGGTGAAATACTAGAGGTTGAGATGAGGCTTGAGAGGCTTTCAACCAGAAGGAGAGGAACTGGCTGATGGGAGTAGGAGCAGGTAGGAGCAGTTGCCGGATTGTAGGTGAACGAGCCAGGAGAGAGGAACGAGCAACGAACAGGACTGAAAATGGGTCCTAGATGTGGACAAGTTTAACTGAGAAGGTAGGAGAGAATGTTAGCAGGAGAGAGCGCGTGGCTGTGAAGAAGATGGAAGTGAAAGTATGGTGGGAGGTGTTAGCAGAGTCGGGAGGGGATGGAAGGAGACCCAGAGGTAGAGGGCTGGGGTGGAGGGAGACTGGTTTGACTGGTGAGTGGAAAGTATGAGTGTTGATATGCTGAGGATTTTGTCGCTGGAAATTGATGGAATTGCTTGATGTCTTTATCCATTAAAGCAGCAGGTTAGGTCATTTGCTGAGAATTAATGTGTGTGTGTGTGTGTGTGTGTGTGTGTGTGTGTGTGTGTGGCAGAGCTGAACTTCCTTCTGACTAGGGAAACAAGGGGCTATTGCATTGAGCCCACTTGAGTTCTGTCCTATGTCTGGCAAGCTGACTTTCTTTGATAGCCAAAGGCTGGGTATGAATGGGTTCAGGGGAAAACAAGTGGTTGTATTAATTAATTCAAGGTTGGATTTTGCTAGAGTCACAAGGGAAGGAACCAAGGGTGTTGAGGATAATTGCAAGGGGGAACGGTTTGAAGTCATGGACTTGCTGGCCTGAGTCGAAGGGATGTAATGAGCAGAGGGAGCTAATTGGAGGAAAGTAGGTCAGAAAACTCAAGGTCCAAATAGGGCTAAGAACCCTATTTGGGAATGGGAATGAAAATGTGGAATATAGGACTTGTATGATGTGTGTGCGGTTGGTGGTGGGGGTGGGGGTGTTGAATTTGGAATTTGAGGTGCAGCAGTTCTCATGACTTATAATTTCTCTGGACTGTGGTCATGGCTGGGCGGCATCTAAAGTTGAGTGGGGTGAAAGTTGCTAGGGTGGAGGTCAGATCACCAGGAGATCAAGATCAAGAGAGTGGATTGCTCTTCTGGGCAGACATAGATGATGATGGAAGGACTTAGGATGGGGAGAAAGGTGAGACTCTAGGTCGAGAGTCTTCAGGAATGGGTGCTGGCAGGATGGTAGATGGAAGCAGTAGAGGAATAGCCAAGATTTGTCCAAGGAAGGTGGGATAATCCTCTTGGAGGCAACACGAAGACCTTGGCTACCTCATATCAGAGGGATGTGGGGAGGAGGAGCTGAAGCGCCTCTTGAGATTTCTGCAGAGAAAGCAGGGAGGCCAAGTGTGAGCTAAGGGGAGGGACCAGAAGGAATGTTGTATAAAGATGTGGAGAGTTGATGTGGAACGGGTGGGGTGGGGGGTGGAAGGGGGGTCTGTGTGTGGAACGGAGGGGTTGCCGCAGCCCGGTGTGAAAGGGTCTCAATGAGGGAGGGACCTGTAGAAGGTGAGCAGCAGGATGTTAGTGCCCTGAGCACCAGGGGTAATACCTGCCCCTTCCCTCCTCCACCAGGGTTCCATGGATATATAAATACATCCTCTCCCCACCCCCAAATCATTTGAGGATAAGTTACATATATTTAAATAGAACTAATCTCTTACATAAACTCACATTGATAAAAATAATTTTTTTCTAATCTACCATCCATATTCCCATTTATTGGCTGGCTTAATCACATTCTATTGCATATTTTCTCCCTCTAGTATATAGCTTCTCAAACCACTTTTCAGAAAATATTAGCGCCCACCTGGCTATGAAAAACTTCTCTATTTGAGAATGATGTACAAATGCGCTTTACACAATTGATGTGTGTATGGATTGCGATAACAGTTGCATGAGCCCCTAATAAAATGTTTAAAAAAAAAAAAAAGAAAGAAAAACTTCTCTACTAGAGCCCTTAATCTAGGACAGCGGTTCTCAACCTGTGAGTGTCGACCCCTTGGGGGTCGAATGACCCTTTCACAGGGGTCGCCTGATTCATAACAGTAGCAAAATGACAGTGATGAAGTAGCAGTGAAAACAATTTTATGGTTGGGGGTCACCACAACATAAGGGTCTATATGAAAGGGTTGCAGCATTAGGAAGGTTGAGAACCGCTGGTCTAGGATAAGTGTAGGTGTCTGCTTTTGCAGCCCGGATCCTTCCAGCAAACACCATGTGTGTGCCCCACCCCCACCCCAGTGGGTAGTATCGCCCACTTTGGGCCAGGAATAGCAGTTACTTCTCTCCTATTGTGGGCCCCTTATTTCTGGTCTTTATTGTTCCTGACCTTAACCTTTCTGAAGTTTTTCTTAGTGATTAGATTGATCTTAGAGATTCACAGCTGAAATGATAAGTAGGTATTGGCCTTTGTGGTATGCTAGCCGAGGTCCCTTGTCCCTCACTGTTTTGATCATTTGGCCAGGTGGTTTCCTGTTAACTCATGTATCCCTCTCCCAGACTTCACTCCTTTGCAGTCAGAGTTAACATAACCTGCCTTCCATCAAAATCACCCCTGCAGGTGTAGGATCTACTGATGATTCTTGCTTGACCCAGTCTTGACCATAAGGGCTGCAAAATGATTTAAAAAAGAAATGTTCGAATACTTGCACAGCACCAATCAACCCTTATTTTATTTACAGATATGGATTTATTATCAGTATTGATGTACATCTTCCTAGTTTCCACTCCTGTGATCTTCTGTATGTAGGAACATCAGAACTAGGGTCACATTCCATTGCTGCTATGTGGAAACTCTGGGTGTTGCTATCTGTTCATGGTGGAGTGCTAGGCCATTGGTACAGAATGGAATTAGCAGGAGTTAATGCCTTCTTAAACCATTGAGGTCTTAAAATGGTAGTAATTAGTTGTTTGGTTTGCTATTACTGCATAGAATATTTTCAGCTCATAATCAGTGTAGATCATCTTACCTAACCTATTGCAACTATTGATGAATAAAGTATAAACCAATTACATAAGTTCATTATTTATTCATTATACCCAAACGATATGGTATCCAGGATTAAATTGTAATGTAGCACTAGGACTACAATAAAGAACTCACTTAAAAGAGCCCATCTATCTAGGTGTAAAGAACTACAAATTCTGTCACATATATACTTATATTGATTAATGATTAAAAACTTTCTTTTGATGGGATATATGAGTTAAGCAATTTTGCTTGTATTAATTTAAGAAATGACCTATGTAACAGGCTCTTAGCTTTCTGACATAAAGCATTGTAAGACTATTGGTATTTTGGTTAAACTGTATTTTTAGTTAGCATATTTCGAATACTTTGATAGTATTCTATCAGACTTTAAGATGGTGAGCATTTACCTAGTAAAATAAAAGGAAGTTAAAAAACAAAACCCACTGTTATCAGTTGATTCCAACGGCCAGTGCCCTACAAGGCAGGAGAACTACCCTTTCTACTGCCCTTTCAGGTTTTGGAGAGGTTAAATCTTCACCGGTTCAGACTGCCTCACCTTTTTCCTACTGGGCAACCAGTGGCTTTGAATCAATGACTTTGTGGTTAGCAGTTCAATATGTAAACCCACTATGCCACCAGGGCTCCTTGGGTGCTGGCTCTGGGCTGGGAAACCTGTCTTAGATGGGGCGTTGGTGCCATCTAGTGTTGTAGAAAGTAACGTTGTGTACAGCCAGGACTATGGCAGGGTGCACCGACCGGATTTAGTGATTTGTGGATATTTATTTCATACTA